ACGATATATTTAAAAAAAACTTAAATAGGAGATGATTTTTAAATTAAAGTGAATATTTTAATAACTCAAAAAAATATTATCTTCTTAGTTATATAATATATATAATATAATTAAAGATTAATTATCAAGCTTAAATATAGAAAATATAAATGAGCTCTATTTTTGAAAGAAAAATCTAAGATTATTAATAGATATTACTATTAGTTAACTATTAAAAAAAGTGAAAAAACTATATATATTTAAAAACTTATAGAGATAAATAAGAAGAACTCATTATTGATATATTTAAATAATTTATAAAGTAAATAAGAATATTTAAAAACTAATAAAACAGTTAAATATTCTGAATCAGATTCAGAATATAAGATATTTTCATGAAATCTAGAAAAAGAATATGAAGTTTTTAACTTTGAATAATTTGTAATTCAAAAGACTATAATAGTTTATAAAATTATATCTTAGAAAGTAAATATTAATAATATTTAAATATTTTCAAATAGTCAAAGAGTATTAAAAAACTTCAGAAATATAAAATTGAAAGTAATTAGATAAATCTTGAATTAATTCAAAAAAAAATAAAAAAATTGAGATTAAGAATAAAAATATTCAGATTTACTTATCTTAAGTATCTGCTCATATAAATATTCTAAAAAATGAAAAAAATAGATTTAGTAGTAAAGATTAAAATTAAAACTCAAAAACAACTTAAAGAATTATATTCTAATAATATATATCAAAAAAAAGATTAAGAAATTATGTCTTGATAAATGAATAAAAATCTGAGAAAAGAAGAAGAAAAGTATTCAATATATAAGATATGGAATAAAATCAAAGTAGAAATTTATATTAATAAAATATAGAATGAAAATATTTTTCTCTGTAATATAATTGAAACTTGAATATGACTATTTTAAATTATATATGAAAAGATTTAGAGATTTTTTAAACTTTAATAAATATAATTTCTATAATATAGTTAAAGGTTTAAATTATATACTAATGAATTACTTATTAAATAATAAGATAAAAAAGAAATTAAGATAGAAACACTCAATTCATCAATTAAATATAATCTTTTTACTTAATACTGAATTAGAAAAAAAGTTTTTAATTGAATTTATAGAGAAAATAAAAATTGCCTTTAGAAAATAAAATTTAATATCAAATAAATTTGATATTTAATCTATAAAAAAGGTGAAAATATTTTCAAAAATACTTTTATTAAGATTTTTTTTATATTAAGTTTATTATTTTATTTTATTTTATTTTGTTTTGTTTTATTTTATTTTATTACTTGTTTTATTTAAATTGAAAAAGAGACTAAATTAAAATTAAAACTATATTTTTCATTCAAAAATTATTAAATACTATATTATTCTGAGATGAAACTCTATAAGTTAATGAATTGATTACTATTTATTAATTAAATTAATAAAATAATTAAATTCTAGTTTTATTAAAGTGTGAATATAAGCTACATAAAAAGAAAACTCTTTGTATTATCAATTGCTATATAATAAAATACTAAGTTTGATAAAATGAAAGAGTGAGTTATATTAAATATCTAAAGTGATTGTATTGATAGTCTATCTCAAAAATACTCTATACTATTATGCAGTGCACTAGTTCATAATAGAAAGTCTAGACTTTAACATCTTTTTTCAAATTAGCTATTATACAGACTAGCTACTGTTCTACATAAATCAATTATATTCATCTTATCTATCAATCTATCTTGTCTTTAAATTGCTGTACTCATCTAATTCCTTTTTTATTTCACTTATAATATAACTAACTTCTCAAAAGTTCTTCAATATTTGAAGAAATTATTGTAAAGAATACTTAATTTGACTGATTTATAAGTAAATTCTTTATATTTCTATCTTTGTTTTTATTTCTATTCTTAGTTTTATTTTTATTTCTATTTTTTAATATTTTAATATGTTTTTTATTATGCTTCTATCATTCAGTATTTGTGAGATTTAAGTTCTTAAACCAGCAGTGTTTCATCATATACTCTGTATTCTCATAGTAGTAACATTGATGTTCATCAAATTATTCAGTGATAGCATTCACAGCAGATGAGTTGAGATGAGTTATAGTAATAATAACATAAATAGTTAATTAATTCATTAATTCATTAAGATTCAAATTTTGAATAGAGCTCTGTTTGAGGACATAGAAATCATTTAACTTTATTTTAATAAATTTCTGTTGTCAGTCTCTCAGTTCTAGTATGAATAAATTATGATAAATATTTTCAGCTCAATTTTCACTTAGAGATACAAGTTTTGTCTTTAAATTTTAAAAAATTACAAGATAGATATGAAAATTATTATTTTTAAGCTGTAAGTTTTTTAACTTTTTAATAATTTAAAAATATTCTTTTGCATGAAATATAGTATAGTGCTGAGCAAGATTCTTTCATATAGTTACTGCTAGATAGAAATCTTCATTCAGTAATTCTAGAAAATTACATAAAGTTGCATTTAAAGATTGAAAGATTTTTATATAAAAAAGTTCATTTTTTTTTATTTTAAAGCTCAATTTTTAAAGAAACTGTGATAGAAGATGTTATTTATTGTTTATTGAGAATATTTTTGATTTGAATTAAATAAGCATCTGCAAGAATAGAGCTCTTTCATTTTAAATAGTTAATTTTAATAAGAATGACTATATATTTTTATTTCAATTTAATCTTTGCATCTTTGTAAAATTCATCAACTTTATTCTTGATGAGATTCTTAGTAGTATTTGACAAAGAATCTGGGTTTTCTTCTAGTCTTTGTATGAGTTTTTCTATCTGTCTGTTCTGTCTTTTCATGTATTTCATCATCATTTATATCATATTCATATTGCTCTTATTCATATTTATTTCATCTCTTTGATCAGTTTCTTCTTTAGATTCAAAGATAGATGTATTGTATTCATGTTTGTCTCTATTCATGTTGTTGCTTGCAGAGATATTCAATGATTCTGCAACTTGTGTTCTTGAAAACATCTATTTATCTCTTCTTGATTCAATCTGTTTCTTATAATTAAAGCTTTCAAAACAGTTACTTTTCATTAGATTCTTGCTACAATTCAATGATGCAGTCTTCACAAGACATTTTGTATCTCAGATTAAAGAAGAAGAAGGAATAGAATGTGGAAGTAGTGCAGAAGACTCTTCAAAAAGAAAAACAAGCTATTCAGATCATAATCTATTGAACATCTAAAGTGGTTGTATTGGTAGCCTATCTCGGGGATGCTATATACTATTGTGCAGTGCGCTAGTCCATTATAGGAAGCCTAGGCTCCAACAGGTTATAACAACCCGTATGGTCAGTTGGTCACATGATGAGGGTTAGGCGTAATCGGGCGCCGGCTCGGTCGGGCGCTGAGCCTAACAAGTTTTAACTAGATAAATGTCAGAGTTACTGATTGAACACATCTTAAATGAATAATAATAATAATAATAATAATAATAATTAATAATAATAATATAACTTTTTTGCAGCTTATACACTTGAAATTTTATCTGTATCAAGTGCTTAAATTGTCAAAGTCTTTCTGCTTGAAAGAACACTTGATGACTTTGCATTGTTGATATTTTGATTATTAAGTCAGGAGATGATGCATAGAAGTGACTTGCTCGACTTTTGCAGCTTGACTAAGTATTTTTGCAATTTCAAGTTGGAAGGGACCAGGAGAGAGGAAAAAGAAGAGAGGGTATTTTTAGATCAGGTTCATTGAGTCTTACTATTGTGATTTGGACATACACTATATTATATTACACTGGGAGACTGGGAAGCTGGGAAACCCCAAGGACTGCGTTTGCTTAGCAAAATCGCTGTTCCGTGTTCAAATCCCTCCCCAGTTATAACACTATAAATACACACGGAGCAATGAAAGGAGCCATGAAATTCATCCAATAGGATAGAATAGGATATCATATTATCATCCCCACTGTAAACCATAGGGATTAGGACAAAGCAAGCTTATTTCAACCTGGTAGATGAATAGGTTTATCCAGGGAACACCCCCTACGGCTCCAGCTCATCAGTAGGAATATCCTCCATATCCTTTCCCACAATGGCATCCGATACCTTCCAGACCTGGAGCAGATTGTCTTCTGCAGCGGAGCACAGAACCCAGGGATCATTCAAATTCCAGCTGAAATCGGAGATGCGGTTCGTATGGCCACCGTGCATGAATAACCTGGTAAATAGAGTTAGCAAACGTGTATTTTACTTAATACTGCACACGGGATCCCGTAATTGTATGGAAAAGTGGGAAAGAATAAATCATACAGTTCAGGCGGACCATCCTGCGCATCCTCGGGCGTCTGCTCCTCACCAGCCCGACTGAGATCCCAAAACATAATCCTCCGATCATAACTAGCACTCGCAAGAACGGCTTCCTCGAACGGATGCCACGACAACGAAGTCACGGATTCGGTATGGCATTCCAGCGCATGCAGCTTCGATTTCAGATTTCGCAGATCCCAGATTCCTACGCTCTTGTCAGCGGAACCGGTTGCGAGGACGGTTTCCTTGGCTGGGTTGAATGCGATTGCGTTTATGGCATCCTTGTGCTCGTCCTTTGACACTGCGGCTGCGCGTGTGGTGTCCGCTTCACGAATGTCGAGGATTTGAAGAGTGATGTCGTCAGATACGGTGCCGATTAGGGAGGAGTGGAGAGGGTGGTATTGAACGTCGTTAACGATGGAGGAGTGATGGGTGTAGGTCCGGGAGGGTTTAAGAGCCTTGTTGCCCTTTGTGTGTTGCGTTATGTCCCTAGAAGAGCATTAGCTATGCGAACTTCAAAAGAAAAGAAGAGATCAAGTTATACAGTCGCAAAGTGAGGGGCAGGGGCTACAAACCAAAGACGGACAGTCTTGTCTTCACTTCCAGTCGCGAGATGGCCAATAAAATGCGGACTCCAACTTAAACCAAAGCCTTCTTTCGTGTGTCCCAGCAACTCCAATTCAGGACAAACGGTACCTGTGGGGAGACTGGGGTGTCTCGAGCGGTCCCAAACCATCACTCTACCATCCGTGCACATGGTCGCAATCACATTCGGGTTCTGCGGCTGGTATCTTGCCTTGTTTACTTCGCCTTTATGATCTATCTTTTGGACAATGTTGAATTTCACCTCCATGGGCGCCTTCTTCGACCCTCCCCCACCATATCCGCCAATCTCAGCCTTCTCGTCATCATAGTCCTCAGCATCGGGGGTTCGTGGATTGGGTAGTTGAACGTGTGCTATTTGGAGGTAATTTTGAGCATCGCTCGAGGTATGTGTTCCAATAAGGAGGCGATGGGTAGAGTAGCATTTATCAGGGACACTTTGGAATTGGAGGACGGAGTAAATAATTTTGTAGCTTAAGTTATTTGAGGAAGCACGCCGTGTACTAAACTTACGCTTGCTTATCCGGTAGCCACTGTGTTGTAAGGGTTGGCCATTCCAGAGCTGTGCTGAGAATCATATCATAAAGAAATGGCGCATTTTTCTTCCACGTCTTGTATTCTGCGGGGGGCAATGTCAGGGTCAGGCGACCGAACTGGTAGAATAGTATTCAGCGGGAGTAAAAGTGGTCATACCTTCATTAATTATCTTCTCCTCTGTTCTCTCTTCCTCTTGCTCCTCCTCTAAACCTACTAAAGATAGAAATCCAAGTAAGCATTAACCTTCGTTTTGCGCAAGGAGACGCCATTCCATCACTTACCTTGATCATAATCGTCCATGGCGGGCAGCTTCGCAGTAAAAGCTTCGCACAACCTTCAAAAGGGCTGATGGAAGCTGTGATGCTCTTTAAAATGGTAGTTCAAGCAATAGCAGAATGATTGAACAGGATATATTGTACTCCCTTTACACAGCGGAGTCTTTTGGAAGTTGCTGTTTCTGAGGTTCCCTGACGCTTCAACAGCCCAAAGAAAAGGAACCAGTTGCAAACGCGACAAATTCGCGTTTAACTAAGTTAGGTTCGTTAGTTGGTTGGTTAACTAATGTAATCAATCACCTAGTGAGACAGATCACCTACTGAGACAGGTCTCCACCATCCAATATCTTTCTAATTGAATATCACCACAACTAGATAGTAAAACCAGCTAATTACATTATAAATTACTCCTTGTACACTGGGAGCATGTACAAATAGTATGTTCTATAACACCACATCCACTGCACTGTGATACTGCTCACTTTTGTGATTACTTATCAAACTGCTCTATTATCTCTCTTTCCTCTGCAATGTCTCTTTGTATACAATTCACCTCTTCTTGAACAGTCAAGCTCTCTCTCTGGCTTATGTATATATGACATCTTTCTCACTTTTTCTTTTATTTTGCATTTACAGTCTTCAGCTCTTTGTTTTTTCTTATCAAAATAATAGCACTATGTATAGTTATTTGATATCTTTTGACTAGCTTTTTCAAAGCTTGATTGATTGAACTGAGTGGACTCTATGTACAGTACTTGAAATATTTCTTAATCTTCTCACTCTGAAGCTTCAGTTGTTGTATATTATGAGATGTGATAATGATTCAGAAGATCTGAGAGCTATATGAGATCTCTGAAGAGGTTGATGTATGTATCTGAATATTGAACTAGAAAAGAATCTGCTCTGAATCATATGAAGCTAGTTTTATAGCTTTAAATTCACTCTGAATATTCTTTTCACTCAGAGCTGCTGTGTGAACTGAAGAATAGATAGTTAAAAACTCATTCTTATTAATATAATTGATGTCAAATCTCATTCTCTTCTCAATCTCTTTTCTATATACTTATTTTAATGAAAAAAAAACAAGCAACATCTAAAGACTGTAAGAGATGAGAGAAATGAGTTAATATATAAAAAAAATAATCAAGTTTTAAGTGTAAAACTGATCAAACTTAGAATTATTATAACTGTTATGTTCATTAAATATCAAGAGTTAATATTGATTAATTGTACAAACTTAAATATATTTATTAAACATCTCTTTAAGTCAGATCAAACTTAACTTATCAGTTGTTTATTCATTTTCACTGATTTCAATCCTTCAGTTATATGATAACTCATTCTCAAATTAAGAAATCTGATGTAATTTTTTCTTGAAAATGATTATTGAAGATAATAATCAATCTATTAAATTAACTCTCTCAATAATGATAATTTATTCTATATTTTCAAACTATACAAACTTTGAATAAAGAGTCTTCTCTAACTCAGTAATTATTTTGATTGTTTCAATAACTCTCATCTGAAACTCAGTTATATTAAAGTTGTATATATTCTTCTATACAATGTCATATTTTTAAATAGTATTTTGTACAAGCTCAAATCATTCTTGAATAATCATAGAATCTTTACATAGAGCTCATTGATGATCATACAATTGAAAGAATTAGATTTTTAACTCAGAATGACAGTAAATGAATCATTTAACTCAGCTTTCATCAACAGTTTTTGAGTTGAAAAAGTTATTTTGATTGACAAGATAAAGATTAACAGTTTCTTATATAATACTCACTCAGAGAGGCTGATCACTTTTATTCATGAAGATTATTCATTGAACAAGAGATAATTTCTCAATAGAGGTCAGTTTTTAATTTCTTAACTGAGAGTTCTCTTATATCATATGATTATGAAGTTGATGGCAAAGAGTGGAATAAGAGATGTTGCACAATCTGACAGCAGCTCTAGAACTAGAAATTTGATCTTTTTTAACTGCTTCAATAGCTAGAGTAAGTCTTTCTTTCTTGTATAAAGAATTATCATCTTTAATTGCTGACACTTTGATCAATTAAGTAGTTAAATGCATCATGTAGTGAAGATCTATCTCAGTAGATGATCTGTCTCACTAGATGATTGATTATGTAATATAATCCATCATCTAGTTGATCGGATCATCTAGTCAATTGATTTATTCAACATGTATGCATCTAGCATTCACATCAATAAAATGCCCACCCTATGGCCTTCTCAAGCTTCCACTCAGAAAGGAAAGATTCTTTTGACTATTCAGACATTAAAATGAGGTCAAACTTCAAGTATTAAGAAAGCTGCAAGCTTGTACAGCATCTCTTTTACCATCTTACAGAATTGGTTGAATGGTCATATAATATGAGAGAATTCTCAACTCAACAATTAAAAATTAGCCTCTACTGAAGAGTCAGTTCTTGTACAGTGGATTCTATTCATAAATGAATGTGGCCAGCCTTCTCAAGTGCACACTGTATGAGAAACAGTCAATTTTCTTCTTGCTAATTGAGATTCTAGCACTGAGGTCAAACCTTCATCTACAGTTGGCAAATGCTAAATTAATTGATTTATTGATTGCCATTCTGAGCTCAAATTCAAGTTCTCACACAAGTATGATTATCAATGAGCTCTATGTGAGAATTCTGAGATTATCTATAAGTGGTTTAGACTTGTACAAAATATCATTGCAAAGTATGAGATTCTGAAAGATAATATCTACAACTTTGATGAGACTGAATTTCAGATGAGAGTTATTAGCACTGCTAGAGTGATGACTAAGTCTGAAAGAATTAATCATTCAAAACTGGTTCAATCTAGAAATCAAGAATAAGTGATTGTTATTGCTAAAATCAATGTTACAAATTGAGCTCTTCATACAATGATCATTTTCAAAGAAAAAGTACATCAATTCTGTTGATATGAGATGGAAGGGCTACCAGACAACTGAGTCATTGAAGTCAGTGATAATGACTAGACAACTGACAAACTAAGTCTGTATTAACTGAAGAAGGTGTTCAACAAGAACACTCTACTCTGTATAAAGAACAAATACTAACTATTGATTCTTGATGAATATAAAAGTCCTGCTTCAGCTGAATTTGACTGGTTCTGCTCTGAGAACAATATTATTGCTCTCTACATGCCAGCTTATTCCTCTCATTTTCTTCAGTCATTGAATGTTAACTACTTCTCCCCTATAAAAACAGTGTACATACAATTGATAGAGAAGCAGATGTGGCTTGAAATCAATCACATTGATAAAAAGAAGTTTCTAAATCTCTATTTTATTACTCATATACAGGCCCTGACTGAGAGTAACATTAAGAGCAGCTTTAGAGCTGCTGGGCTGATTCTATATGATCCTGAATAGATTCTCTCACATCTTAATATCACAATATATACACTCATCTTTTCTGGAACTTCTCATAGCTCCCAAGCATCTTGGGCCACAACCACATCACATAATATACATCAATTGGAGCAGCAGGCTGGGAAGGTCAGGAAATATATCAAACACTGTATGTAGAGTCTACTCAGTCCTACCTATCAGGCCCTAAGCCAGCTTGTCAAGGGCTATCAAATGACCATGTATAGAATGACACTTTTGAAGCAGAAGGTCAAGAAACTAAGAGCCGCATATACTAAACAAAAGAGAAAGTGAGAAAGAGGCTGTACATATATAGCTCAAGAGAGTGCTTTGAGGGTTGAAAAAAACTTGAATCATATACAAAGAGTCAATGAATGGAAAGAAGGGATGGTTGAAGCTGCTGACTCTCAATCATAAAAACAAACAGCACCACAGTGTAGTGTATATGAGACTATTGAACATACTGCTCATATATGCTCTCAGTGTGTAGGAAGTAATTCTTAATATAATTTACTACTTTCTATATATAATTGTTGCTTAATTTAATCTGAAATACTTTGAGTGGTGAAAGGCCAATCGACTAGGTGATCTGATTGACTAGATGATGAATTAACATAATCAATCACTCAACTGGCCAGATCACTCAACTGACCATCTTTTCAATTTCAACTCATCATCAACAATCAAAGCTCAATTTCTCAATCACAATGAAAATTCAAGCCTCTAATCAGGAAGGAAAACTTTTTTGGATCATTAGAGCCTATGAAATCAAGCAAATTTCTAGCATTTGAGCTGCTGCTAAGGCCTATGATGTCTCTCATGCCACCCTATCCAATCAACTACATAGAGGCATTCCACGCGTAAAATCCCAGTCTCAACATCAGAAATTGACATCTACAGAAGAAGAAGCTCTAGTTCAATGAATAATCTCCATGGATGAGAGAGGCCTACCCCCCCGAATTGCAAGTGTATGATATATGGCCATTGAGCTACTCAGGGTCTGTGGATCTAGCATATTCCCTAGCATTGAAGAATGCTGAGTGTGAAGATTTATTAAATATCATTCTGAGCTGAAGACCAGGCTCACATGCAGATATGATCACCAGTGAGCTCTATGTGAAGATCCAGAGATTATAAAAAGATGGTTTAGAATGTTGGATAATGCTCTGAAGAAGTATGAAATTCTATCTGAGTGTTAGGGAGCGAATGCGAGCTGCATAAGAAGGAAACTCTCTGCGTTGCTAACTGCTATATAACGAAATACTAAGCTTGATGGGATGAAAGGGGGTGCTGGGGCCTGCGTGGATTATAACCACCTGCATGGTCGTGTGGTCACGTGATATGGATTAGGCCTAATCGGGCGCCGAGCTTAATCCGACGTCGGGTCTAACCGGGCACCGGCCTTCGGTCGGGCTCGGTCGGACGCTGAGCCTAACATCACCCCCCGGTCTAGGGGCAGGCATGTCCTCATGCCGGTAGGTCGTCATCAACCTCGTCCTTCAGGTAGCTGTCTGTCTCCCATGCCTTCAGCCACTCATCTAGTCGCCTTGGGGGTCCAGCTTTTGTAGGGTTAGCCTCATGGAAGTCGCGTATGGCGTGTGGTGATCCTTTGAAGTCGCGAGCGGGGTACCATG